GAATCCTCCACCCTCAAGTAGTCCCTGGTGCTGATACTTACCTTTTGTGTCCACATGTACTCAATGTTTAGCTCCCACTTATCAGAGCATGTGGTATTTGCTTTTCTGTTTCTGCATTAGTTTGCTTAGAATAATGGCCTCCAGTTCCATCCATGTTGCTACAAAGGATATCTTTTTCTTCTTTGTGGTTGTGTAATATTCCATAGTGTATATTGCCACATTTTCTTTATCCAGTCTACCATACATGGGAGTTTGATTCCACATCTTTGCTATTGTGAATAGTGCTGCAATGAACATATGCATGCATGTATTTTCTTTAAGTTTTAAAAAATTTCTTTAATTTTTGTGGGTGCTTAGTAGGTGTGTATATTTATGGTGTACACGAGATGTTTTGATACAGGTATGCAATGTGAAATAAGAACATCGGGGGAAATGAGGGATCCATCCCCTCAAGCATTTATCTGTTGAGTTGAAAACAATCCAATTACACTCTAAGTTATTTTAAAATGTACAATTTATTATTGACTATAGTCACCCAATTGTACTATCAAATAGTAGGGCTTATTTATTCTATTATTTTTTTTTTTTTTTTTTTTTTTTTTTTTGAGACAGAGTCTTACTCTGTTGCACAGGCTGGAGTGCAGTGGCCTGATCTCGGCTCACTGCAACCTCCGCCTACCACGTTCAAGTGATTCTTCTGCCTCAGCCTCCTGAATAGCTGGGACTATAGGCGCATGCCCCACTCCCCGCTAATTTTTGTATTTTTAGTAGAGATGGGATTTCGCTATATTGGCCAGGCTGGTCTCGAACTCCTGACCTCGTGATCTGCCCACCTCAGCCTCCCGAAGTGCTGGGATTACAGGCGTGAGCCACTGGGCCTGGCCTCATTCTATTTTTTGGGCCCATTGACTATCCCCACCTCCCTCACCCCCTAATCCCCCACCACTGCCCTTCCAAGCCTCTGGTAAGCATCCTTCTACTCTCTATCTCCATGAGATCAATTGTTTTGACTTTTAGAGCCCATAAATAAGTGAGAACATGTGACGTTTGTCTTTCTGTGCATGGCTTATTTCACTTAACATAATGATCTCCAGTTACATCCACGTTGTTGCAAATGACTGGGCCTCATTTTTTTAACGGATAAATAGTACTTCATTGGGTATATATGTAACACACTTTCTTTATCCATTCATCTGTTGAGGGACACTTAGGTTGTTTCCAAATCTTGGTTACTGTGAACAGTGCTGCAACAAACACAGGGGTGCAGATATCTCTCTGACATAATAATTTCCTTTCTTTTGAGTATATATCCAGAAGTGCAATTGCTGGATCATGTGGTAGGTCCATTTTTAGTTTTTTAAGGAACATCCAGACTGTTCTCCATAGTGGTACTAATTTACATTCCCACCAAGAGTGTATGAGAGTTCTCTTCTCCACATTGTTGCCGGCATCTGTTATTGCCTGACTTTTGGATATAAGCCATTTTAACTGGGGTGAGATATCTCATTGTAGTTTTGATTTGCATTTATTTGATGATCAATGATGTTGAGCACATTTTTGTAAGCCTGTTTGCCATTTGTATGTCTTCTTTTGATAAATGTCTATTCAACTCATTTGCCCATTTTTGATTGGATTATTAGATTTTTTTTTCTTATAGAGTTGAGATCCATATATTTTCTGTTTTTTTGTTTTTTGTTTTTTGTTTTTTTAGACAGAGTCTTGCTCTCTGGCCCAGGCTAGAGTGCAGTGCATGATCTCAGCTCACTGCAACCTCCACCTCCTGGGTTCAAGCAATTCTCCTGCCTTAGCCTCCCGAGTAGCTGGGACTACAGGCATCCACCACCATGCCAGGCTAATTTTTGCATTTTTAGTAGAGACAGGGTTTCACCATATTGGCCAGACTGGTCTTGAACTCCTGACCTTGTGATCCGCCTGCATCGGCCTCCCAAATTGCTGGGATTACAGGCATGAGCCACCGCGCCGGGCCTATTTTCTGGTTATTAATCCTGTGTCAGAGGGGTAGTTTGCAAATATTGTCTATAATTCTGTGGGTTGTCTTTTCACTTTGTTGATTGTATATTTTGCTATGCAGAAGCTTTTAAACTTGATGTGGTCCCATTTGTCCATGTTTGGTTTGGTTGCCTGTGCTTGTGGGGTATTGCTTAAGAAGTCTTTGCCCAGATTAACATCATGGAGATTTTCCCCAATGTTTTCTTGTAGTAGTTTCACAGTTTGAGGTGTTAGATTTAAGTCTTTTATCCACTTTGATCTGTTTTTGTATATGATGAGAGATAAGGGTCTAGTTTCATTATTTGCATATGAATATCCAGTTTACCCAGCACTATTTGTGAAGAGACTGTCTTTCCCCCAGTAAACATTCTTGGCATCTTTGTCAAAAATGAGTTCACTGTAGATGTGTAGATTTGCTTCTGGGTTCTCTATTCTGTTTTATTGGCTTAAGTGTTTTAATGCCAGTACCATGTTGTTTCAGTTGCTATACCTCTGTAATATAATTTGAAGTCAAGTAATGTGATTCCTCTGGTTTTATTCTTTTTGCTTAGAGTAGCTTTGGCTATTCCGGGTCTTTTGTGGTTCCATATAAATTTAAAGATTATTTTTTCTTTTCTTTTTTTTTTTTTCTTGAGACAGTCTCACTCTGTCTCCCAGGCTGGAGTGCAGTGGTGTGATCTTGGCTCACTGCAACCTCTGCCTCCTGGGTTCAAGTGATCCTCCTGCCTCAGCCTCCCCAGTAGCTGGGATTACAGGGGCCCACCATCACACCCAGCTAATTTTTGTATTTTTAATACAGATGGTGTTTCACCATATTGGCCAGGCTGGTCTCGAACTCCTGACCTCAGGTGATCCACCCGCCTCGGCCTCCCAAAGTGCTGGGATTACAGGCGTGAGCCACCGTGCCTGGCTGTTTTTCCTATTTCTACAAAGAAGGTAATTGGTATTTTGATAGGAATTGCACTGAATCTGTAGATTGCTTTAAGCAGTATGGACATTTTAACAATATTGATTCTTCTAATCCATGAACATGGGATATTTTTCCATTTTTTGGTGTCCTCTTCAACTTCATCAGTGTTTTATAGTTTTCATTACAGAGATTCTTCACTTCCTTTGATAATTCCTAGGTACTTAATTTTATCTGTGGCTATTGTAAATGGCATTACCTTTTAAATTTCTTTTGCAGATTGTTCACTGTTGGCATATAGAAATGCTACTGATTTTCTATCCTGCAACTTTACTGAATTTTTTAATCCTGTCAGTTTTTTGGTGGAGTCCTTAGGTTTTTCCAAATATAAGATCATATCACCTGCAAACAATGATAATTTGATTTCTTCTTTTCCAAGTCAGAGGCCCTTTATATCTTTCTCTTTTCTGATTGCCCTCGCTAGAATTTCCAATACTATATTTAATAACAGGGGTGATAGCCTGTGTCCTTAAGGTAGAATGATTTCTATTCCTTTGGGTAGACATCCAATAATGGGATTACTGGATCAAATGGTAATTCTGTTTTAATTTCTTTTAGAAATTGCCACACTGTTTTCCACAATAACTGAACTAATTTACATTCCCATCAGCAGTATATAGGTGTTCCCTTTTCTCCACAACCTTACTGGCATGTTCGCTTTTGACTTTTAATAACAGCCATTTAGACTATTGTGAGATGGTATTTCACTGTGGTTCTGATTTGTTTTCTCTAATGATTAGTGATATTGAGCATTTTTTCACATGCTTTTTGGCCACAAGTATGTCTTCTTCTGGAAAGTGTTCAAGTTAAGGAACAAAATAGAGAAAATATTTTGTTAAAAAAGTAAGATTGTAGGAATTTTTAGGATTTCCAAAACTGCAAAAACACTTGATGGAACGTCCATCAAGAAGAAACCCAAAACTTTAGGAATGCAGGAGGCTTTAGACTGCCTGTGGGGTTCATTGATGAACATTTGGGTTGGTTCCAAATCTTTGCTATTGCGAATAGTGCCGCAATAAACATACATGTGCATGTGTCTTTATAGTAGCATGATTTATAATCCTTTGGGTATATACCCAGAAATGGGATCACTGGGTCAAATGGTATTTCCAGTACTAGATCCTTAAGGATTGCCACACTGTCTTCCACAGTAGTTGAGCTAGTTTACACTCCCATCAACGGTGTAAAAGCATTCCTATTTCTCCACATCCTCTCCAGCATCTGTTGTTTCCTGACTTTTTAATGATCGTCATTCTAACTGGTATGAGATAGTATCTCATTGTGGTTTTGATTTGCATTTCTCTGATGCCCAGTGATGATGAGCATTTTTTGATGTGTCTGTTGGCTGCATAAATATCTTCTTTTGAGAAGTGTCTGTTCATATCCTTCGCCCACTTTTTGATGGGTTGTTTTTTTCTTGTAAATTTAAGTTCTTTGTAGATTCTGCTCTGTATCTTAAGTGTGGTAGTTACTACATGAGGGTATACTGTTGTAAAAACTCATTGTATTAGTGTGTTCTCACTGCTATAAAGATACTACTTGAGACTGGGTAATTTATACACAAAAGAAATTTAATTACTCGCAGTTCAGAGTGACTGGGGAGGCCTCAGGAGACTTACAATCATGGTGGAAGGCGAAGTGGAAGCAGGCACCTTCTTAACAGGATGGCAGGAGACAGCAAGTGAGTGCAGGGGAAACTGATGTTTTTGAAAATATCAGATCTTGTGAGAACTCCCTCACTATCATGAGAACAGCATGGGGGAAACCACTCCCATGATGCAATCACCTCTTATCAGGTCCTTCCTTCAATACATGGGGATTACAATTCAAGATGAGATTTGGGTGGGGACACAGAGCCCCAAACCACATCACTCATAAAATTGGCAAAACAGGATGTCTTTTACCATGTTTAAATTATACTTAAGTTGATTTATAAAAATTATCATACATTGTTTTAATAATGAAACAAAATTTTGAAATTTCATAAACAGGAAAATAGACAATGTTTTATAGTTACACAAAGTTATTTATTATACTTTATTAAAATAAGTAAAGCTAAACATATCAGCAGGTAAAAAGGTCAAAACCATGCATTTGAAGACAAAAGCTGAATAACTTTAACTTTTGCAAATACTTGCAAAACAACAAAATATGTTATTGTACATCCACAATAGTATATGTGTATATATGGAAATAAAGAATGAAAGTAATGAGACATGGTATCAATAAAAACCAAGTTTAAAATAAGGCTTAAAGGTGGTAAAGGTTATAGGAAGTTAAAGAAATTTGGGAATGACATGCAGATACTCCAACTACTTTTGCAATACTTTACTTCCAAGCTGCAATATGTACACTGATGGTTATGTTATGAAATATTTCACTAAAACTACACCAGCCCACCTAAAAGGGTTCACTAAAATTCAGTCAATAGGCTTGGATTTTAAAAAGTAAGCTATACTGAGCTTCCTGTGGCTCTGAATTGGAGACCAAACTCACATGGGCTAAAGGTTCTAGGTGGTCCTCTAGCTTTGTACACACACTTAATGTGGTTTCCAGTCTCTGCACCTAGGAAGAGGGGCAGATGCAGCCTCAAGGACAACCTATATCCCACTGCCTCTGGCTGGTCCCAATGTATGTTCTGGTAAGAGGGTGGTCCATCCTGAGCTCCCCTAAGGGTAGGTCCATTAGGCAGAAAATGCAGAGGCAACAGTATAGTTGGAGGGCAGACTAATCAAGGACAGGATATGCTCATGACAGAAAGGGCCATGGGGTAACACTCTTTCCCCAAAAGTGGACTCAGAGACTGAAAAGGTTATTCAATTTATTTGTGCTTTAAAAAAATCTTCATACTCTACAGTTACTATTTGTATAGAATTCTGTTTACAGTTACATTTCTATTTAAAAATTTGGGATCAGAACAAAATATGACTAATTTTTTAAAAACATGACTTTCAGGATAATACTGTATCTAGAAGAAAATTTCTATTCATTATTTCCTAAACTGACACATTTCCTTTAACACAATCTTCAGATATAATAAAGTCTAGGTATTTGTTAATGTCTTCACATTCAAAATATCTGTTATGACTTTAACTCAGTATGAATTATCTTGCTTAGTAAAATGACATTTCTTGATATAGACTCAACTACATTTGCTGCATTCTTTGAATACCTTCCCTATTATTTATTTAATATACAATGAGTAAAACTTGTACATAAAGTTGTCAAAAGAAACAGAATGTTGACAGTTTTCTCTAAATGTGGTTTATCTTATTTTTATTAATGGTCATTCTCTGGAAGAACATTTTCATATATCCATGTGAGTCATTAGATTATTTCCTATGGAAGTTCTTTGTTTAATAAATTCCAAATTATAGCAAAATATTTCCCCATATTCTCTACATGGATCAGTAGTGTTTCTTCTACATGTATTCAGTTACTTTGTAGTTGTCTCTTACAGCAGATTTTCAAACATTCATTACATTATTAGGAATTTCCCCTATGCTATTCTCTTATTTACTTTGGAAGATGACTTATGGTAAAAGGTTTGCCAAGTTCTTTACATTCACAGGGGTCATGTCCTATTTGATTTCTCCTAAGTATTTTGAGGTATGAATTGCTTGAGAAAGATTTCTCTCATTTCTACATTTATAAGCTTTTTCCCATGTGTATCCTTGGATGTGCTATGAGAGTTTATTTCTCAGAGGGTTTCCCCACACTGCTTACATCCATAGGGTTTCTCCCTTGTGTGTCTTCTCTGATATACTTTGAGACCTAAGCTGCAACTGAAGCTTTTCCCACACTGACTACATTCATAGGGTTTCTCCCTTGTGTGTGTTCTCTGATGTTTAGTGAGATCTGACTTATGATAGTACTTCCCACATTCATTACATTTATAAGGTTTTTCCCCTGTGTGTATTCTCTGATGTACAGTAAGAACTGATTTCTCAGAGAAGGACTTCCCACACTCATTACACCCATAGGGCTTCTCCCCCATGTGTTTTCTCTGATGGGAGTTGAGGACTGAGTTGCAAATAAAGGTTTTCCCACATTCATTACAGTAATAAGACTTCTCCCCTCTGTGTGTTCTCTTATGTACTGTATAGTCTGCCTTATGGTATAAGGTTTTCCCACATTTTTTACACACAAAGGGTTTGTCTCCTGTATGCATTCTCTGGTGTATTGTAAGGTATGAATTCCTAGAGAAGAATTTCCCACATTCCTTACATCTATAGGGCTTCTTACCTGTGTGTGTTCTCTGATGTTTGGTTAGGTCTGATTTATTGTAGAAGGTTTTTCCACATTCATTACATTTATAAGGTTTTTCCCCTGTGTGTATTCTCTGATGTACTGTAAGGACTGATTTCTCAGAGAAGGATTTCCCGTACTCAGTATATTCATAGGGTTTCTCCTTTGTATGTGTTCTCTGATGTACTTTTAGGCCTGAGTTATGACTAAAAGTTTTCCCACACTGAATACATTCATAGGGTTTTCCCCCTATGTGAGTCTTCTGATGTTTAGTGACATCAGACTTGTGGCAAAAGGTTTTGCCACATATCTTACATTCATAGGGTTTCTCGCCTGTGTGAGTTCTCTGATGTATTATAAGATATGAACTCCTAGAGAAAGATTTCCCACATTCATTACATTCACAGGGTTTCTCACCTGTGTGTGTTTTATGATGTATTATGAGGACAGAGTTGCTTATGAAGGTTTTTCCACATTGATTACATTCGTAGGGTTTCTCCCATGTGAATTCTCTGATGTACTGTAAGATATGACTTATGAAAGAAACTTTTTCTACATTCCTTACATTTATAGGGTTTCTCTCCTGTGTGAGTTCTCTGATGTAATATGAGGTGTGAATTCCTAGAAAAGCATTTCCCACATTCCTTACATTTATAGGGTTTCTCTCCTGTGTGGACTCTCTGATGTAAAGTGAGGGGAGATTTCCTAGAAAAACATTTTTCACATTCATTACATTCATAGGGTTTCTCCCCTGTATGGATTCTTTGATGTTTGGTTAGCTTTGACTGTTCATAGAATGGTTTTCCACATTGCTCACATCCATAGACTTCCTCTCCTCTGTGTGTTCTGTGAGTTACATTAAGTACTGACTTCTCATACAAAGGTTCCCCTGATTTGTTACTTTCAAATGTTTTCTCTCTTGTGTTAGGAAAGATTGATCTGTTAAAATTACCTACACTTTCAATATATTTATAATGTTTCACCTCCAAATGAACTCTATGTTTCAAGAAAGTGGACTTCTCAAAGGTTTTTTCATATTCATTAAACTCATAAAAGTTTTCTCTTTTTTCTGACATTTTATGGACCGTGAGAGTTGGATTATTATAAAACACTTTATTACATTCATTATGTACACAAGGACTCTCTCCTGTGTAAGCTTGCTTATATGTAATAAAAACTGCCTTTCCATAGAAATCTTTCTCACATTCCTTATATTCAAGATTGCTCTAAATTTTGAATTTTCAGATATGAAATGAAGTCCTCCTTATGACTGAGGCATTTTCCAATTTGAATAAACTCATAACGTTTCTCTTCCATATGAGTTTTTTCATGGTTACTATTGAGGAATAGTTTTCTATATGCACTGAGGTCATGAGGCATCTTTCTTAAATAATTTTTCTTACTACTAAATAAATCTGAAATGTATTTTAAACTCATACCACATAAGTCACATTTACAAGGTATTTTTATGGAAGGAAGTGGGTCTATGCTGAAATCAAACACTTTTCCTAATATGTTACCTCTCTCTATAGTCAGTATTTGGTTGTTGATATATGGAGCTTGCCAGATATGTCTGTCCTGGATTTCCTGACAGCGCTCCAGTTGGTCATCAACTTTGCAGACTTCTAGAAATAAGAAAAAATAACCGTAACTTATAAGTCTTGTGATATTTGTGATGAACTTACACTTACATACAAACGCGCTTTTACATATAGTTGACTTAGTTTCCTGGAATAAAGTAATCCAAAAAGTGTTAATCTCCTCTAGCCCTTTGGCTAGAAGAAAATAAACAAGAAACCTTATAATGTGGAAAGTAGGGTGGAAATTTAGAACACACAATGGGCAACTTATAAATACGTACTTCAAAACAACACAGAGGTTACAAATAACCATAAAGCACAATGAATACAGAATAGACACAAATAATGACATAAAACATTAGATATAAAAATGATACTAAAGATATAAAATAAATAATATAAATATAAAAATGGCTAATCTAGAAATGGGACATGCAGAGAATGAGAGGGGCAAGGAAAACTAGTAGTTAAGAGTGTTCTAGAAAAATATCAGAGGAGGCTGGGCATGGTGGCTCACACCTGTAATCTCAGCACTTTGAGAGGACAAGGAGGGAGGATCACCTAAGGTTGGGAGTTCAAGACCAGCCTGACCAACATGAAGAAACCCCATCTCTACTGAAATTAGCTGGGCATGGTGGCACATGCCTGTAATCCCAGCTACTAGGGAGGCTGGACAGGAGAATTGCTGGAACCTGGGAGGCAGAGGCTGAGGTGAGCTGAGATCACGCCACTGCACTCCAGCCTGGGCAACAAGAGCGAACTCTGTCTCAAAAAGAAAAAAAAAAGAAAAAGAAAAAAGAGAAGAAAAATGTCAGAGGAATGGTTTATTTGAATGAAACATATCAAGCTTTAAATAGTGTTCTTCTATCACTTGAACCCAAAGGCAGGGGTTGTAGTGGTCAGTGTTTCAGGTGGTATGAGTGGAAAGTGAAAACATAAAATACAAAAATATTTGGAAGACAGTTTACAAAAGTAAAACAGTAATATACTTTTTTTTTTTTTTTTTTTGAGATGGAGTCTGGTTCTGTCACCCATGCTAGAGTGCAGTGGCACGATCTTAGCTCACTGCAACCTCTGCCTCCTGGGTTCAAGCAATTATCCTGCCTCAGCCTCCTGAGTAGCTGGGATTACAAGCACCTGCCACCATGCCCACCTAATTTTTGTATTTTATTAGAGACAGGGTTTCACCATGTTGGCCAGGTGGGTCTTGAACTCCTGACCTCAGATGATCCACCCCCCTCAGCCTCCAAAAGTGCTGAGATTACAGGTGTGAGCCACTGTGCCTGGCCTTTTCTTTTTGAGATGGAGTTTCGCTCTGTCACCCAGTCTGGAGTGCAGTGGCATGATCTCAGCTCACTGCAACCTCCATCTCCTCAGTTCAAGTGATTTTCCTGTATCAGCCTCCTGATTAGCTGGGATTACAGGCGTGTGCTACCACACCCGGCTAATTTTTTATATTTTTGGTAGACATGGGGTTTCACCATGTTGGTCAGGCTAGTCTCAAACTCCTGACCTCAAATGATCCACCCACCTCGGCCTCCCAAAGTGCTAGGACTACAGGTGTGAGCCACCACACCCATCCCAATAACAGACAGTTACTTAACATCATTAAGAAAGGATGACAGAAAGACAAAAATAAAATAACATTATGAGGGTCATCTGTGAGAGCAGCAGGCTTATAGAACGTAACAAAAAAGATAAGTGAGGAAGACTTATGATTTGTCAGTAATGATTTTAGTTTCAGTTCTTGCCAATTTGCAGGGATCAGAACATCCTCCCAGACTCCTGACTGCAGGTAAAACACTGCATGAATGGCCAAAGGCACTGGAAATAGAAAGGGGAAGGTCGTCAGACCAAAACTTTATATCATGGATATAGCAAGAGCTTATTATTTTTTGAAGATTCAATTTTATTGTTTTTCAACAGGTAATTTATAGTGATTACTGAAAACATATCAAGTTGTCTCCTAAATGTTAGTTGGTATCTTGTATTTGTCAGAGTTTTACTATGACATCTACTGCACCTTTCTTCTTTTTGTACTTTGTTTTTTTGATATTTTCCCATTTTTTCTTCTTTACATCTTTGGAAGTTATACTATACCAGTTTCTCAATGGTTGGCTACCCATTAAATTTTACCAAGCTCTCATTCATCAAGATTCAGTTAGTTAAGTAACGATACAATATCTATTATATGCTATATACCAAAGTGAGTTAATATCATAAACCTCTTTTCTGAATTACAGAAGGATTTTGAAACACAATTTGATTATCCCCACCTCATTTATATGTAATTATTATTTATTATATAATTGTGTCTTTTTTAGCACTACAAATTAAGTATCACTATTATTTTATACAAACATAATTTAAATTGACCTATGTTTCCTAATTTCCTATCACTTATTTACCAATACTCTCATCTCAAGCATTCTTTTAGGGTTCATTTTCTCTCTTCCTGTATTTGCTATTAGAATTTTACTAAAAAAATTACGCAAAAGGTATGGCTTTTATAATTTATTGCAGTATCGATCCAATTTTAATTTTTTTAAAAGTTAAATGTAGGGTTCAGTAATCTGCGATAACAGACATTCCTTCTTCCTTACTCCTTTTATTTCCTCTTTTACTACTCTGAATGTGTCTTACATGGTTGTTTTATACTTACCAATACATCCATGGTCTTAATTAATGGGTGTTTGAAAACATATTTTCCGTTACTTGTTTACTCTCACAAATGATTTATTTCCTCAGGTTTTGGTTTTAAGCTCATATTTCGTTTAACTGTAAGTGAGAATATTGGGGATGCTTATCCTTGAGAGGAATTCTTTTCCCTTCCTTAAAGCAAGCTACCAATCCGAGGTGACGGCCTAGAGTCTGGATCCTCTAGTGTGGGAGTATAGGAGAATAAGGGTACAAGAAAGCCCTCTATTACTACAGCAGGAGTGCAGAACTATATTGGGCTCAGGATCCTTTACTGACAGAAAAGTAGAGGTCTCATAACACTGAGGAAGAAGCAGGTACAGCTGTCCCTCAGGCTCTGCAGGGGATTGTTTCCAGAACTTCCCTCAGATACCAAAATCCACAGATGATCAAGTTGCACAGTTAGCCCTGACACACCTGCAGATACAGAGGGCTGACTGTACACGGTGAAAGCCCCATGCAGAGGCCCAGGCACACAGGGCCTGCTGATGACTAAGGCTGTGTTAGAACAACAGAGAACACCCCTGCCCCCACCACAAGCATGACATAGAGTAACAGGGAGCAGCAGCCTATTGCTGGCAGAGGGGCAAGAGCAGGGAGACACAGGCTTAAGAGGGATAGCTAACAGCCAACACAGAGAAGCATAGGGAAAATTCTCCTAATGCAAAATATCTAAAAACTATGGGATAACAAACATATACAAGCAACTGGAGATCCAGGGAAAAAATGATGAAAAACATCAAACCACAAGCGAGAGAACAGCAAGAAAGAAAAATACCACACACACACAGATATTTGGCTATAAATATCATAGCCAAACAACTAAAAACCAAGGATAAAAAGAAAATCTTAAAGGCAGCCAGAGAAAACAGGATATTAAATGCAGAGAAACAAAGCTTTTTAAATTACAGCAGGAAATAATATCTAAGTGAGAAGACAACAGAATGAAATATTTAATGTATGGAGAAAAAAATGTCAATCTAGAATTCTATACCCAGAGGAAAAAAAAATCTTACAAATATAGTCTTTTTTGGAAAAACAAAAGCTGAGAAAATTCACTGCCAACAGAGCTTTGCTTTAAGAAATACTAAAGGGAGTTATTTACACAAAAGGAGGAAGATACACAAAGATATTAAGAATGTCTAAAATGTTTTTTAAATGGGGGGCAAACATAAAAGACTTTTAAATCGTTATAAAAGACGACTGGCTTTACAGAGCAAAAATACCACGGATACATTGTGGGGTCTCTAAGTAAAAACATATGGCTACAATATCACATAGAAAGGGAGGAAGGCTTTAGCCCAGGAACTCAAAACCAGCCTGCGCAACATGGTGAGAGCTCATCACTACTAAAAAAACAACTAGACAGACATGGTGGTACGTCCTGTAGTTCAAAGTACTCAGGAGGCTGAGGTGGGAGGATCACCTGAGCCCAGGAAGTTGAGCCGTTATTGTGTGACTGCACTTTAGCCTGGGCGACAGAGCAAAACCGTATCAAAAAAAAAAAAAAAAAAAAGAGAGAGGACGGAATGGAGCTATATCAAATCTTAAATTTTATATTGTTGTAAGATTCTATGGTTATATGTGAAATAGTATCATATCACTTGTAAGGAGACTGTGATAAACTGATAATGCTTATTGTATATCACGGGGCAACCACTTAAAACAAAATTTAAGAAAGAACTATAGACTGAGTATCCCTTACCTGAAATGCTTGGGACCAGAAGTGTTTTTGATTCCTGGTGTTTTTGGATTTTTTATTTTTTCAGATTGTGGAATATTTTTATATTGTCCTTTGAGGGAGTACATGTGTGAGTGAATCTAGGTGATATGGTTTGGATTCATGTCCCTGCCCAAATCTCATGTCGGATTGTAATCCCCAGTGCTGGAGGTGGGCCTGGTGGGAGGTGATTGGATTATGGGGGCAGATTTCCCCCCTTTGGTGCTGTTCTCGTGACAGAGGTCTCAAGAAATATAGTTATTTAAATGTGTGTGGCACCTCCCACCTCTCTCTCTTCTTCCTGCTCTGGCCACATAAGATGTGCCTGTTTGCCCTTCACCTTCCACCATGACTACAAGTTTCCTGAGTCCTTCCAGTCATGTTTCCTATACAGCCTGCAGAACTGTGAGCCAATGAAACCTCTTCTCTTTATAAATTACCCAGTCTCAGGTAGTTCTTTATAGCAATGCAAGAATGCATATAGCAATGCAAGGACTAATATACTATGCATGCAAACGAAGAGATATCACAGCTAAAGGGGGTTGGGAGAGTCTTTTTTCCCTTAGGGACACTGAATAAACTATGTGTTGTGTCCCTACACTTTGACTGTGCCCCATCACATAAGGTGTGGAACTTTCCACTTGTGGTGTCCTGTTGGCACTCAAAAAGTTCTGGGTTTTTGAGCATTTCAGATATCAAATTTTCAGATTAGGGATGCTCAACCTGTAATACTAATAAGAATTCAGCGGAGATAAAACAAAATAAAAATTACCAATCCAAATGAGAGAAAACGAGGAAAAAAAGGAAAAAGAACAAAATGAGCAAGGAGGAAACACTCAGCAAAATTATGTGAATCCAAACATTAACAAATTACATGAAATATAAGTGGTTGAAACGTCACAATTAAGAAGTAGAAGTAAGACCAGGCGCTGTGGCTCACACCTGTAATCCTAGCACTTTGGAAGGCCGAGGCAGGCCGATCACTTGAGGTCAGGAGCTCGAAACCAGCCTGGTCAACATGGTGAAATTCTGTCTCTACTAAAAGTACAAAACTTAGCTGGAAATAGCTTGAACCCGGGAGGCAGAAGTTGCAATGAGCTGAGATCGTGCTACTGCATTCCAGTCCAGGCAGCAGAGTGAGATGCCATCCCCCCGCCCCCCAAAAAAAGTAGAAGTTTTCACACAAGTTATAAAAGCAACACCCAACCACATGCTATTTTAAGAAATTCACGGCGAGGCACAGTGGCTCATGCCTGTAATCCCAGCACTCTGGGAAGCCAAAGCAGGTGGATCACAAGGTCAGGAGTTCAAGACCAGCCTGGCCAACATGGTGAACCCTCATCTCTACTAAAAATACAAAAAATTAGCCAGGTATGGTGGCATGCACCCTTAATCCCAGCTACTTGAGAGGCTGAGGCAGGAGAATCACTTGAACCCAGGAGGCGGAGGTTGCAGTGAGCCGAGATTGCGCCATTGCACTCCAGCCTGGGCGACAGAGCAAGACTCCATCTCAACAAAAAAAAAAAAAAAAGGAAATTCACTTTAAATATAAAGAGATTAAAAGTATGGAAAAAGGTAAATAAAATTAAAAGACAATTGGAAGAACTAAATTAGTATCAAAGTAGCATTTAGAACAAAGAGTATTACTAGGTATAAAGAGAGACATTACATTTTAGCCTCCGCTTAATCAAATTAAATACAGTCAATAATGCCCATGTTTTCAACAACACACTCTCACATTTGCTTTAGAATTAGTTCCTCAATTAAATTCAGAGGCTACTACCAGTATTTTTACCATGCTTTTTGTGTCACTTCTTGGTTATCTGATATTCATCTTCTAATAAAAGGTCTTAGGGACAAAGGACCCAGAATTCTTGCCTATTCAAAAAAAGGTTTCCTCTTTTTTGTTAAAGAATCACTCTTTAACCTAGTATAAAGTTCTTAATTTGACCCTCCCTAAGGATTTTGTAGCAATTGCTCTACAGACTTTTAGCAGTTTTGTTTAGCAAATTTTGTTATGGAAAAGGTTGAGATCAGCTGGACGTTTTTCTTATATTGACTGGCTGTCAAAATGATTCTTTATCTTTGAAATCTAGTAATGCTATTAGGAATATAGCATGATGTTGATCATTTTTGGTCTGCCTTCCTTAGGGATGGTTTATCTTTTTTATGTAGATTCAATCGTATCTTCTTTTCCCCAAAAAATGTTATTGGAGTATTTTCAATATTGGTTCTATTTATTTGATTTTCTACTTTGGGGAATGAACTATATGTATAGTATATATGTGAAATATCTTTTATACTATCTTCTTTATGCAATATTCACCTTTTATTTTTTTCAGTTTCTTCTTGCTTGAAAGGCCTTCCACATTTATTTCTAATCTACATTTCAGCAATGCCTATTCTTCTTTGGGAATTCTCCAATTTGCTTTTCTTTCTTTCTTTCTTTCTTTCTTTTTTTGAGATGGAGTTTCATTCTGTTGCCCAGGCTGGAGTACAGTGGTGTGATCTTGACTCACTGCAGCCTCTGCCTGCTGGGTTCAAGCTATTCTCCTGCCTCAGCCTCCTAAGTAACTGGGATTACAGGTGTGCCACCATTCCCGGCTAATTTTTTGTATTTTTAGTAGAGATGGGGTTTCACTATGTTGGAAAGGCTGGTCTCAAATTCCCGACCTCAAGTGATCCACTGGCCTTGGCCTCCCAAAGTATGGGGATTACAGATGTGAGCCACCGTGCCTGGCCCCAATTTGCTTTCTTTACTGTGATTCTTATTTTCTCTTACAATTCTTTTCTCGGTCTGACATCCCAGAATGCATTTTATTAAATGAATTAAAACATTATACTGTTGCCTTAACATATCATGCAGGCAATCAATTCAATTAGTCCTTTTTGAAATTCATGGTTTATTATTTGCCCCAATTATTTATGTACTTTATGTACACGTTGATCAGGTGACATTTTATCACCTACTTTTTTTTTTCTAATCTTTTTCAACCCTTTATTCTTGCAGTAGTTTTGTGGGGCATTTTATGCTGGTTCCTTTTGGATTACTCAGCTTCAAAGGACATGAGCTTTTACACTGCATCAGTTTTACTAGGTAAAGGGAACAGAGGCATGTCTTAATCTAACGAGAGAGCTTCTTATGAAAAAGTGTTTTGCACATATACCAAACTCAGTTTATGCATCAACCCAGATTGTCGCTCCTTTCTTGCCAGAGTAGCCTTAGTAATGGCTTGCTCTGTTATTACCCTGTTGTACTTTCTCTTCGTCCTAACCAGCCTTACTCCCCATTTCCTCACTTCTGTAGTAGGTCTGCCCATCCTGACAAGTTTTTACTTCCAACTGTTTACAGGAATACAAGCTAAGATAGCATGCAAGTTTATTTCCCCTCACACAGGTGTCTGTAACATTTTTTTCTGAAATGGAAAGTCTCATTTCTTGCATTGTCACAGAGTGTCACTGAAAAACATGACTTGTGTGTCTGTTTCCATACTTAACCCTACATCAGCTTCACAGAACCAAACTGCATTCAAAGGAGCTCCAGCTGTCCTGCGCACAGCACTGATGTTATTCCAAGAGAGATTTAAGCTTTGTACCTCAGAGTATGTATGTTGTCTCTCTAAAGTATTTTACCAGTTCCTTCAAGCACCAGAAATGTTTTTGTTTCTTTTCATCTGCTGGTACATATGGCCCTCCTTAATTTTTCAGTGATTCTGGTAGCATTTCCACTTGTATTGATTTGGGGTTTCAGATATCCTCTATTGTCATGAGATAAACTTTGTGTTGTTCTTTTTCCTTATTGTTTCTGGATGATCTGTAGACAGAGACAGAGAAAATGCTTACTTTACACATCCCACTTCAGAGAAGCTCACTTTCTCCTTGAAACATTGTCTTCCTTGGCTGCAGTATACTACATTCTTTGTTTTCCACTCATCCCCAAACTGCTTTTTCTTTCTTCTTTGCTCAGTCTCCTCACTTTCAAGACTTCTGAAAGCTAATGACCCAGGGGATAGCCTCCAGTCCTACCCCAAAAGAGAGGTTATCTAATCCCTCAGCTTTAAATACTAAACTTCAAAACTGTTAACTACTGCCATAAGCTGATAATTTCCAAATAAATATCTTCCACTTGGACTTGCACCAAACTACCTGCTTATGTGCCCAAACGCTTATTAGCCATGTAAACCTGGATATTTTATAATCACTTGAAACTTTATGTGTGCAAACCAAATGCGTAACAATCCCTCCAAAACTGTTTATCCTCAATATCCCCCAACTGGTACCCACTTATCCAACTGCTCTGGGTGAAATGTTTGGAGTCACTCTTGACTCCTTTCTTTCTTTCATGTTCCATATCCCACTCAATAGCAAATGTTACAGGTCCCACATTCAGAACATATCAAAAAGCCAACCACTTCTTAATTTTTTTTTTGAGATGCAGTCTTGCTCTGTCACCTAAGCTGGAGTGCAGTGGTGCAATCTCAACTCACCTCAGCCTCTGCTCCCCCAGGTTCCACAATTCTCCTGCCTCAGCCTCCTGGGTGGCTGGGATTACAGGCACATGCCACCACACCTGGCTAATTTTTGTATTTTTAATAGAGACGGGGTTTCACCATGTTGGCCAGGCTGGTCTTGAAGTCCTGACCTCAGGTGATCTGCCTGCCTTGGCCTCCCAAAGTGCTGGGATTACAGGCGTGAGCCACTGTGCCTGGCCAAAAGCCAATCACTTTTAATAATCTCCACCATTCTAAAGTGTAAGCTACTATTGCCTTTTTGCAGACTGAAATACTCTCCTGACTCATGTTCTTGCTTCATCCCCCTTTCCCCAATAGTATTTTCTTTGCTTAGCAGCCAGAGATATCCATTTAAAAGACAAATCAGCAAATGTTCCTTATTGGGTCAAATCATACCAATAGCTTCTCATTTTACTCAAAATAAAATAATAGTCCTTATCATGGCCCATATGGCCCTAGATAATTTGGGCTCCCATTACCTCTCCAACATCAACTCATACCACTCTTGCCTCACTCATTCTTTTCAATCCACACTTATATTTGTGTGTCCTCAAAGACCACATGCGCACTCCTGTATCAGTGCCTTGCACTTGATTCTTCCCCTGCTATCAGGACTACCCCCAACTCCCACCCTCATATCATTCAACTTCACAGCATCCAAAAGTCCTTCCTGATCCACTTTTCTAAAGTTTAACACTCCATCATTCTTAACCTTCTTTAATTTCCTTACTATTTTACATGACCACTTGGCATATCTGTGCATGTGTGGTAGTGTTGTCATTTTTGTTCCTTATCTTTTTCTCCCAATCAGAAGGTAAGCTCCATAAGGTCATGGATAAAATTCAGTTCACTACTCTATTTCCAGCACCTAAAACTTGAGTGACACATAGTAGGAATGAACATATGAGCAAACTCTTTTTTTTTTTTTTTTTTTGAGACAGAGTCTCGCTGTGTTGCCCAGGCTGGAGTGCAGTGGTGCAGTCTCAGGTCACTGCAACCTCCACCTTCCTGGTTCAAGCGATTCTCCTGCCTCTGCCTCCCGAGTAGCTGGGATTACAGGCACCTGTCCTCATGCCCGGCTAATTTTTGTATTTTTGTAGACATGGGGTTTCACCATGTTGGCCAGGCTGGTCTCGAATGCTGACCTCAGATGATCCTTCTTGGCCTCCCAAAGTGATGGGATTACAGGCATTGAGCCACTGTGCCTGGCCATGCAAACTCTTCAGAATTAAAAGAATTCATACCATGTCACTGGCATCCTTCTGCTTAATACATGCTAACTCATCTGGGTATCTCTGGCCTGGGAGCTCTTCCTCTAATATCCATGGCTGCTCTCCTTGTTCCAATTTGAAGATCACTTCTTGTTTAGGGATGCAATATCCTGTGAATGGGAAATGACATGGAAACTGGGTGAGGCTAATGTACTTTAGGGCGTCTGAAAGAGGGAGAAAATGAAACTTCAGAAGCCAATTTCAACCATGTGTGTAAAAAGTAAGAAAACAACAACATTCTTTATAGCACCCTAAACAGTTCTTCTGCTTAATACTCTGAATATCAAGTTTAGTATAATTAACCCCAACAAAACTTCCATAAGTTTTAGCAACCAAGAAAAGATGTACACACTAGGAGTCTACATGAAAAACAGTTCCTACCTACCCACTGAGACGAGGTGGCTGTAGTTCTCTATCATCACATCCCTGTACAGGGTCCTCTGAGCAGGGTCCAGATGCTGCCACTCCTCCTGGGTGAAGCCCACAGTCACATCCTCAAATGACAAGGATCCCTGAAACAGTACATTCCATTCAAATTTAAGCAATCAGAATTTAAAGACATAAGTGCTGTAAGAGAATTATTATAATGTTCACTATTCACAGTTAATCAGAAAATGCATTATAAGATGTCTACTTTTGCACTGTACTTAGTTGAAAAGATAAATCATAACAGATATACTCTACCACCATGATAAGTAATTGGTGTCCCACCATGTGCCTATGTATCACCAAGAATTCTCCTACTTTAGGGGAATATGAAGACAACTAAAACAATGTTACTATTCTCAAGGAAAATATAATCTGATAAACAGAGGCAAACATATAATCACATAACTACAATAAGGTACTATAGTAAAAAGATGTAAAAAGTTATCTAAGCTTACAAAGCGGGGTGGGGAACTTCTGTTCCTGCTATTTGGTTGGGTTTCATTGAGGAGGTAAAGATTTGAATTCTTAAACAACTAGAGTGTTATTCATGAACCCAGGCAATAGCATAAGAATGGATACGGCTAATATATGTAGTTAAAGGAGTAACAATTAGCACATAGAATAGTATTGTTTGGGACTCTGATAAGATAAAGAGCTGTAGAGGTATTCAGGGAACATTATTGAGTAATTTTGGACTTGCTCCTATAGAATTAGGGGTATCTAAAATATTTGGCCATTTTTCAATCCTGGGTAACTTTTTTTTTTTAAGATGGAGTTTTATTTTTGTTGTCCAGGCTGGAGTGCAATGGCACAATCTCGAGTAGCTGGGATTACAGGCATGCGCCACCATGCCCAGCTAAGTTGGTATTTTTAGTAGAGACGGGGTTTCTCCATGTTGGTCAGGCTGGTCTTAAACTCCCGACCTCAGGTGATCTGCCCGCCTTGGCCTCCCAAAGTGTTGGGATTACAGGCATGAGCCACTGTGCCTAGCCCTATCCTGGGTAACCTTTTTATTAATTTATCAATTATAAACATATTGCCAATCTATGTATTAAATTTCACTCTTTTTCTTAGATTATAATACATGTAGGTAGGCATTTGAATATTTTCTTCTTTAATCCAATGGACTGTCTCATCTACCTCAGAGATAACTGACTGCTGTGGGTAGTGGGGAGCCAGTAAGTAGACACAAACCAGCAGAGAGAGAAAGAAGTACCATTCCCAGGTTAGCAACACAAACAGCTGGTAAATGTTCATAGCATATACTGAGAACTGGAAAATAGGGGAAAAAAATAGGTCAGAGTGTAAAACTGTGTGGAATAAAGGCAAGAAAGAACATAAAAAGTTATAAGAATTAGAAGAGAATAAATAAAGCTATCAGTATCTGCAGATGTCATAATTCTGCATGAAGAACATGCAAGAGAATCTACAAATTATTTTAAGTAAGAAGTGAATTCAGTAAGTTTTTGGATACAAAATCAATGTATAAAAATCAAGTGGAGGCCGTGCGCAGTGGCTCATGCATGTAATCCCAGTACTTTGGGAGGCCCAGGAGGGCGGATCATGAGGTCAGGAGATGGAGACCATCCTGGCTAACACAATGAAACCCTGTCTCTACTAAAAATACAAAAAATTATCCAGACTTGGTCGCATGCACCTGTGGCCCCAGCTACTCGGGAGGCTGAGGGAGGAGAATCACTTGAACCCAGAAGGCAGAGGTTGCAGCGAGCTGAGATCCCACCACTGCACTCCAGGGTAGATGACAGAGTGAGACTCTATCTCAAAAATAATAAATAAATTAAAAAAATCAAGTGGATTTTGGCTGGGCATAGTAGTTCACACCTGTAATCCCAGCACATTGGGACGCTGAGGTGGGCAGATCACGTTAGGTCAGGAATTTGAGACCAGCCTGACCAACATGGAGAAACCCCATCTCTACTAAAAATACAAAATTAGCTGAACGTGGTGGCACATGCCTGTAATCCCAGCTACTTGAGAGGCTGAGGGAGGAGAATCACTTGAACACAGGAGGCAGAGGTTGCGGTGAGCCAAGATCGTGCCATTGCACTCCAACCTGGGCAAAGCTCAAAAATAAACAAAAAAATCAAGTGGATTTCTATATACCAGCAACTAATTGTTTCAAAGTACCACCTACAGTGCCATCAAAAACATGAAATACTGGCCAAGCGTGGTGGCTCACACCTGTAATCCCAGTGCTTTGGGAGGCGGAGGTGGGCGAATCACAAGGTCAGGAGATTGAGACCATCCTGGCTAACACGGTGAAACTCCGTCTCTACTAAAAATGCAAAAAATTAGCCAGGCATGGTGGCGGGCACCTGTGGTCCCAGCTACTTGGGAGGCTGAAGCAGGAGAATGGTGTGAACCCGGGAGGCGGAGTTTGCAGTGAGCCGAGATCCCGCCACTGCACTGCAGCCTGGGTGACAGAGCGAGACACTGTCTCAAAAAAAAAAATACCTCAGAACAAATGTAACAAATCATTTCTAAGACAATTACACATAAAATCATAAAGCATTCTCGAGAAAAACAAAAGAATATCTTTAAAAAAACAGAATATTGGGGGACGGAGCAAGATGGCCGAATAGGAACAGCTCCAGTCTCCAGCTCCCAGCGCGAGCCACACAAAAGACAGGTGATTTCTGCATTTTCAACTGAGGTACTGGGTTCATCTCACTAGGGAGTGGCGGACAATCGGTACTGGTCAGCTGCTGCAGCCCGACCAGTGAGAGCTGAAGCAGGGTGAGACATCGCCTCACCTGGGAAGCTGAAGGGGGAAGGGAATCCCTTTTCCTAGCCAGGGGAACTGAGACACACAACACCTGGAAAATCCCACCCCAATACTGCGCTTTACCAAGGGTCTTAGCAAACGGGCACACCAGGTGATTATATCCCACACCTGGCCAGGAGGGTCCCACGCCCACGGAACCTCCCTCATTGCTAGCACAGCAGTCTGTGATCTAAGGGCAAGGCAACAGCCAGGCTGGGGGAGGGGAGCCTGCTACTGCTGAGGCTTAAGTAGGTAAACAAAGCCGCTGGGAAGCTCGAACTGGGTGGAGCTCACAGCAGCTCAAGGAGGCCAGCCTGTCTCTGTAGACTCCACCTCTGGGGACAGGGCACAGCTAAACAACAACAACAACAACAAAGCAGCTGAAACCTATGCAGACGCAAACGACTCTGTCTGACAGCTTTGAAGAGAGCAGTGGATCTCCCAACACGGAGGTTGAGATCTGAGAAGGGACAGATTGCCTACTCAAGTGGCTCCCTAACCCATGAGTAGCCTAACTGGGAGACATCCCCTACTAGGGCCAGACCGACACCCCACACCTCACACGGTGGAGTACACCCCTGAGAGGAAGCTTCCAAAGCAAGAATCAGACAGGTACACTCGCTGTTCAGAAACATTCTATCTTCTGCAGCTTCTACTGCTGACACACAGGCAAACAGGGTCTGGAGTGGACCTCAAGCAATCTCCAACAGACCTACAGCTGAGGGTCCTGACTGTTAGAAGGAAAACTAACAAAAAGGAAGGACACCCACACCAAAACCCCATCAGTACGTCACCATCACCAAAGACCAGAGGCAGATAAAACCACAAAGATGGGGAAAAAGCCGTGCAGAAAAACTGGAAATTCAAAAAAATAAGAGCACATCTCCCCTTCCAAAGGAACGCAGCTCATCGCCAGCAACGGATCATAGCTGGACGGAGAATGACTTTGATGAGATGAGAGAAGAAAGCTTCAGTCCAACAAACTTCTCAGAGCTAAAGGAGGAATTACGTACCCAGCGCAAAGAAACTAAAAATCTTGAAAAAAGAGTGGAAGAATTGATAACTAGAATAATTAATGCAGAGAAGGCCATAAACGAACTGACAGAGATGAAAACCATGACACAAGAAATACGTGACAAATGCACAAGCTTCTGTAACTGACTTGATCAACTGGAAGAAAGGGTATCAGCGATTGAGGATCAAATGAATGAAATGAAGCGAGAAGAAAAATCTAAAGAAAAAAGAAGAAAAAGAAATGAACAAAGCCTGCAAGAAGTATGGGATTATGTAAAGACCAAATCTACGTCTGATTGGGGTGCCTGAAAGTGAGGGGGAATATGGAACCAAGTTGGAAAACACTCTGCAGGATATCATCCAGGAGAACTTCCCTAACCTAGCGGGGCAGGCCAACATTCAAATTCAGGAAATACAGAGAATGCCACAAAGATACTCCTCGAGAAGAGCAACTTCAAGACACATAATTGCCAGATTCACCAAAGTTGAAATGAAGGAAAAAATCTTAAGGGCAGCCAGAGAGAAAGGTCGGGTTACCCACAAAGGGAAGCCCATCAGACTAACAGCAGATCTCTCGGCAGAAACTCTACAAGCCAGAAGAGAGTGGGTGCCAATATTCAACATTCTTAAAGAAAAGAATTTTCAACCCAGAATTTCATATCCAGCCAAACTAAGTTTCATAAGTGAAGGAGAAATAAAATCCTTTACAGATAAGCAAATGCTGAGAGATTTTGTCACCACCAGGCCTGCCCTACAAGAGACCCTGAAGGAAGCACTAAACATGGAAAGGAACAACCGGTACCAGCCATTGCAAAAACATGCCAAAATGTAAAGACCATCGAGGCTAAGAAGAAACTGCATCAACTAACGAGCAAAATAACCAGTTAATATCATAATGGCAGGATCAAGTTCACACATAACACATTAACCTTAAATGTAAATGGACTAAATGGTCCAATTAAAACACACAGACTGGCAAACTGGATAAAGAGTCAAGACCCCTCAGTCTGCTGTATTCAGGAGACCCATTTCACATGCAGAGACATACATAGGCTCAAAATAAAGGGATGGAGGAAGATCTACCAAGCAAATGGAGAACAAAAAAAAGCAGGGGTGGCAATACTAGTGTCTGATAAAACAGACTTTAAACCATCAACGGTTAAAAGAGACAAAGAAGGCCATTACATAATGGTAAAGGGATCAATTCAACAGGAAGAGCTAACTATCCTAAATATATATGCACCCAATACAGGAGCACCCAGATTCATAAAGCAAGTCCTTAGA